CCCGCCTGATGGCCCCTAGGTTTTGGCCACTGTGTGACACAGAGTGTTGGACTGGGTGGGTCACTGGCCTGATCCAACATAGCTTCTCTTAATGTTCTTATGTCTGGGGCAAGGGATGCTCTGTATCCTTGGTGCTTGGGGGGGGCAAGAGTGGGAGGTCTTCTGGAGTTCTGGCCCCACTGGTGGACCTCATGATGGCAGCTGGGTTTTGGCCACTGGGTGACACAGAGAGTTGGACTGGATGGGCCATTGGTCTGGCCCAGCACGGGCTTCTCTTACATTCTTATAAAATGTTCACATCCCATTATGGAAGGAAGGCTACTTCAGGAGGCAAGCAGGGGATGGAAAATGGCCACAAGGGAAACGGCTCCACATTGGACTAATTACAAAAGACCATCTAGTCCGTTGAATCAGGCCGAGACAGCCCCATCCAGGTCCATGCACTAGTGGGCTTCCAGGTTCCTCTGGAAGTCCACTACCAAGGCAAGTAGAAGAGCTGGTTTCACACACTTCACTACCCAAATGAGTCTCACAAGAGAAGCCAATGTTGGATCAGGCCAATAACCCATCTAGTCTGGAGTGGTTTACAATCTACCTCCCTTCCCCCAACAGACACCCTGTGAGGTGGGTGGGGCTGAGAGAGTTCTGAGAGAACTGCTCTGGGGAGAACAGCTTTCAGAGAACTTGTGACTGACTCAAGGTCACCCACCTGGCTTCATGTGGAGGAGGAGTGGGGAATCAAACCCGGTTCTCCAGATTAAGAGTCCACCACTCTTAAGCACTACACCAGACTGGCTCTCTGAGGGCAACCGTCCTTCTCTTCTCTGCCTTCCCACCCCCAGAACTGGCACTTGGGGGCTAACATGCCAGTGGGCACAGAGGCTTCATTTAACTATCATGGCTAAGAAACTGGGGCCCTTCAGTGAAGAGGAGGATATTGGATTTATACCCCACCCTTCACTTGGAGTCTCAGAGCAGCTTACAAACTCCTTTCCCTTCCCCTCCCCACAACAGACACCCTGTGAGGCAGGTGGGGCTGAGAGAGCTCTTTCGAGAACTGCTTTTTCAGGAACAGCTCTGACAGAGCTATGGCTTGCCCAAGGTCATCCAGCAGCTGCGAGCGGAGGAGTGGGGAATCGAACCCGGTTCTCCCAGACTAGAGCCCGTGCACTTAACCACTACACCAAACTGGAGGAGGAGGAGGATTGGATTTCTCCCCCCGCCCTTCACTACCCAAAGGAGCGGCTTACAAACTCCTTTTCCTTCCCCTCCCCACAACAGACACCCTGTGAGGTAGGTGGTGCTGAGAGAGCTCTTTCGAGGACTGCCCTTGAGAGAATACCTCTGAGAGAACTTGTGACTAACCAAAGGTCACACCGGCTGCTGCATATGGAGGAGTGGGGAATCAAACCCGGTTCTCCCTGATTAGAGTCTGAGCACTTAACCACAACACCAAACTGGCTGAGTCCCCTTTTGAAGCCATCCACGCTAACAGCTGTTTTTGCAGTGTTCCCTCTAAGCTGAGTTAGTGTGAGCTAGCTCACAGTTTTTTAGCCTCCGGCTCACACATTTTTGTCTCAGCTCAGGAAGAATGGATCCAGAGCAAACTAATTTATGCAGCAGCCAAATTGCTTGCTCACAATTTTAATGCCAGCTCACAAAGCAGAATTATTGCTCACAAGACTCCACAGCTTAGAGGGAACATTGGCAGTGAGTCATGGAATGGAATTGTGCACATTGTGCAAAGTGAATGTCTGAGCCAGGCCTTGGGGCCCGTCTGCTTCTCCCAACTGGCAGCGCCCCTCCCTAACATGGCGGTGAAGAGTGCCATCGAGTGGCAGCCGAATTATGGTGGCCCCAGAGGGGTTTCAAGGCAAGAGACATTCAGACATGGTTTGCCACGGCCTGCCTCTGCGTAGTGACCCTGGACTTCTTCAGTGGTCTCCCATCCAAGTATTAACCATGCATGGCTCACCCTGCTTAGCTTCTGAAATCTGATGAGATTGGACTAGCTTGGGCCATCTGTCCAGGCCAAGGAATCCCTAATACTTATATAACGGTTGTGGAAGTCTGTTTTGATGTACCTGAAGAAGTGTGCGTACACACGAAAGCTTGTACCCAGAATTAAACTTTGTGGGTCCCAAAAGGTACCACTGTTCTACATCCTCATAGGTAGAAAAACCTCTCTACCTGCCTTTTCCAATAGACCAAGATGGGTAGCCCTGTGTTAGCCTGTCTGTCGCAGTAGAGAAGAGCAAGTCCAAGAGCGCCTTAAAGATTAACACAATTTGTGGCAGAGGCCGCCAGGCCCTCCTATCTTCCGCCGTCCTCTGAAGCCAAGATGGGTAGCTCTGTGTTAGCCTGTCTGTCACAGTAGAGAAAAGCAAGTCCAGGAGCGCCTTAAAGATTAACACGATTTGTGGCAGAGGAGTCACTCACAAAAGGTCCTCCCCTGCCACGAATGTTGTTAGTCTTTAAGGTGCTCCTGGACTCCTCTTTTCTGCCTTTTCAGACGACATAGGGTTTCCTAAACCTCTTGTCTTGCCTTTCCTTACTTGCATTTTTCTATTACACTGAAAAGCCCCATCCTCAGAGACGTTCCTCCTCCAAGAGGCACACCACCCTCTGGTCCCATCTGCATTCCAAACCTCAGCCTGTGCCAGCAGTCTCCGAAACGCTGCCAGCTCCATGCGCATGGCCAGCAAGGGCAGACTACCACACGCTGAAGCCCTAAACAATGTCAAGTTTGAGAGGACCCCGCAGCATTACCAAAAAAGGGGAAGAACGTTTTCTGAATCTAGAGGTCCCTCCTATTTGGAGCCCCTCCACTGTAGCTTATTTGGCTTGTACACAAATAAAGTCCTGAGCCAACTAGACAGGCAGAACTTAGGGGTGTCAATGCATGGATGAGATGGCGGGATTTGTTAGGATCTGGGAGGAATGTTTCAGAATGAACCGGTCCTAACAAATGAGACGGGCTCCCACTGAACGGAAAGGGAACCAAACTGCTGGTGTTACCTGTGGTGGTGGGAAGTACCATCAAGTCACAGCCGATGTGGTGACCCTGTCGAGTTTTTCACGGCAAAAAGGGACACACAGAGGTGGTTGGCCATCACTTGCCTCTGTGCGGCAACCCTGGACTGCTTGAGTCATCTCCCATCCAAAGAGTAACCACACTGATGATGGTTAGCTTCTTCTTCTTCTTTTACATTTTTGATTGTTTTTCTAAACTACACACCTACAGGGTTTGGGGATGGGAACAAACTATGAGTAGCAACAGATCGTTAATACAATTGTTTAAAGGAAGGACAATTCCCTATTGTCAAAGTAGTAATATATGAGAGTTAATACAATAGTTATATAAAAGATTGAGTGCGTGTTCACAATGCTTCTTAGTTCAGGATTATTAGTAAAGGTAAAGGTTCCCTTGCTCGAAAGCCAGTCGAGTCCGACTCTAGGGTTGCGGTGCTCATCTCCGTTTCCAAGCCGAAGAGCCAGCGCTGTCCGAAGACGTTTCCGTGGTCATGTGGCCGGCATGACTAAACACCAAGGCGCATGGAATGCTGTTACCTTCCCACCGAAGTGGTACCTATTTATCTACTTGCAATGTCTTGCTTTCGAACTGCTAGGTTGGCAGGAGCTGGAACCAGAGATGGGAGCTCACTCCGTCATGCGGCACACTCGGGTCTCGAACTGCTGAACTAACGACCTTCCACAGCCTGCAGTTTAGCGACTTAACCACTTGAGCCACTGCAGCTCCTTCAGGATTATTAGTTCCTGATAATTACCAGACCATTAGAGTTTTATTCTTTTACTTATTTCCTTCCTCTATGTTTCTTTTCAAAGTCCTTTTTATTTTTAGGGGGCTTAGGAGCCGTAGCCCTTAGTCCTGCTTCAAAGTCTAAGGATTCAGCCGACGACGAGTTGGTAGAACTTTCCCCAGTTTTATCGTCTTCTTTTTCTGCATCCTTGTCGTCCTCCAGGCTCTCAGATCCATCCTTATCTTGTTGGTGGTGGTTAGCTTCTGAGATCTGACCAGATGGGACCAGCCCGGGCCATCCAAGTCAAGGCAAGAGGTGAACAGAGGTGGTTTTATCCATTGCCTGCCTCTGCGTAGCAACCCTGGACTTCCTTGGTGGTCCCCACTCCTCCTGCCTGGGCGGAACACCCCCGCAAATTTCCCAGGGATGAAATTCAGGAATCTGAAAACTCTTCTGAAACGATTTATCAAAATGAATCCCCCCCCAAATTCAACACACCAAAAATATGCCTTAAAAAAAACCTGGACCAGAATTAACTTGACTTGATAGATAGAAAGATAGCTATAGATAGTGATAGATAGAAAGATAGATAGATAGAGATACATAGAGATATGTACATTTGGGAGTGTACAGTAGTTCCTGGATGCTGCTGGGGAGGATCCGTTTCTGCCTGAGTCATGCCGAAAGGATGATGATTTCACTTGTCTAGGTAACCTAGTTTCAGGCAGGCTAGATCCTGCATCAGCAAGTGACGACTGTTTAGGGGAGATCACAGGGTCACGGGGCAAGTGTACATGCCGGGACAGGCCACCAAAATCCCCCCCCCTTGGGAGGGCAGCGTCCCCTGGGCCGCCAGCCAGGTGGCAGAAGATGGGCTTAGTGGTACAGAGACTACCTTGGCCTCTTCTTGGCTTGGGCAAGGTGTGAACACCTCAGGCAGGATCACAACAGAGCCCTCCCTTTTCCTTCCTGGCACAGGGCCGTTCAGGTGCCCCTCATTGTGCAACACTTGCATGCATTTCTTTAACCACGATGCAACCCGGATTGATTTAGAAATAAACTTCCCTTTTTCCCGGTTCATTCTTTTCCCCCCTCACATCCACCTGCCATAGGATACTGCATCAGTTCCTTAAGAATGTACCAGCAACTCTCCTTTTGGCTCCTAAATGTTTTATACAACAAGAACAATGTTGTTAAGGGTAGGACTTGAACACATGACGCTGCCTTCCACTGAATCAGACCCCTCCCTTGGTCCACCAAAGTCAGCATGGTCTACTCAGACTGGCAGCAGCTCTCCAGGGTCTCAGGCAGAGAAAGGTCTTTCACATCACCTAAGGAAGAAGAGAGAAGAGATTGGATTTATACCCCGTCCTTCTCTACCCGAAGGAGTCTCAGAGCACCTTACAATCCCCTTCCCTTCCCCGCCCCACAACAGACACCCGTGAGGTAGGTGGGGCTGAGAGAGCTCTGAGAGAACTGCCCTTGAGAGAACAGCTCTGAGAGAACTTGTAACTGACCCAAGGTCACACCAGCAGCTGCAAGTGGAGGAGTAGGGAATCAAACCCCGTCCTCCCAGATTAGAGTCCGCGCTTTTAACCACTACACCAAACTAGCTCTCATTTTAACTGGTACTTTGAACTGGAGATGCCGGGGATTGAACCTGGGACCTTTTGCATGCCAAGCAGAGGCTCTGCCGCTGGGCCACAGCCCTTCTTCTTGATTGTGAATAACCCTTATCACTTTTCCCCTTTCGTCAGACAAATGTAGCTTTTCCCTCCAGATTCTGGGAGTGAGCATGGGCAATATGTTCTAAAGCATCATTCTGAATAGTAAAGGTAAAGGTTTCCCTTGCTCGAAAGCCAGTTGAATCCGACTCTAGGGTTGCAGTGCTCATCTCCGTTTCCAAGCCGAAGAGCCAGCGCTGTCCGAAGACGTTTCCGTGGTCATGTGGCCGGCATGACTGAACACCAAGGCACACGGAACGCTGTGACCTTCCCACCGAAGTGGTACCTATTTATCTACTTGCAATTTCTTGCTTTCGAACGGCTAGGTTGGCAGGAGCTGGAACTAGAGAGAACTAGAGGACTCACACACTCTGGTCTCGAACTGCTGAACTACTGATCATTCTGAATACATCTCTGATCATCATGATCGGCTATGGCGTCTACTGGATCTCTGAGGAAGCTGCCATGAGCCACAGAGCATCGGGGGGGGGAGCCCCCCCCCCCTTGACTCAGACAGAGAGTAGGGAACACCTGAACTAGACCTCAGGAGAGCACCTCAGCCCTGGAACCTGTCTAGTTCGACCAGCCCTGATCTGGATGTCCCACAGTAGCCTGATCGAGCCACATCCCAGAAGCGAAGCAGGGTCAGCCCTGGCCCCTGGCTAGTCCTTGGATGGGGGGCCAGCAAGGAAGCCCAGGGTTGCAGTGCAGAGGCAGGCCATGGAAAACCACCTCTGAAGAAGAAGAGAATGGATTTACACCCCATGGCTCTTCACTCAGAGTCTCAGAGGGGCTTACAGACTCCTTTCCCCTCCCCTCCCCACAACAGACACCCCTGTGAGGTTGATTCCCCACTCCCCCACATGCAGCTGCTGATGTGACCTTGGGTCAGTCACAAGTTCTCTCAGAGCAGTTCTCGAGAGAGAGCTCTCTCAGCCCCACCCACCTCACAGGGTGCCTGTTGTGGGGAGGGGAAGGGAAAAGGAGATTGTGAGCCGCTCTGAGACTCCGATTGAGGGGCAGGGTATAAATCCAATTTCTTCTTCTTCTTGCCAGTTTGGTGTAGTGGTTAAGTGCGCGAACTCTAATCTGGGAGAACCAGGTTTGGTTCCCCACTCTTCTACATGCAGCTGCTGGTGTGACCTTGGGTCAGCCACAAGTTCTCTCAGAGCTGTTCTTGAGAGAGCTCTCTCAGCCCCACCTCCCTCCCAGGGTGTCTGATGTGGGGAGGGGAAGGGAAAGGAGATGGTAAGCCGCTCTGAGACTCCAAGTGAAGGGCGGAGTATAAACCCAATCTCTTCTTCTTCTTCTCTTCAGTCACAGTTACTGGCGAAATGTTCGGTTCTACAATGCCAAGACCACGGCCACACATCCCGGAAAATTTACAGCAACTAATCAGTCAATCAATTAAATATATTTCCCTACTTCCTGACATAATTTAATGCAGAATTCTAATTCTCATGTTAGCAATCTGGCGTATTTTCCTCCTAGAGTATGAACGGATCGGGACTTCATGTCCTTGAAAGGGGCCACGAAGGGAAACCTAGCCTGCAAAATGGGCCTCTTACCTTCTCCCTGTCTTTCCTTTAGTGTTACAGCCCACAACAGGTTTGGCTTATGGAAGATGGGCATTAGCCATGTTTTAAATGCGGCCCATGGCATGATATTTTGCAAAGGATCCCATGGCTTCTATGGTCCCAGCATTGAATATTATGGAGTACCAGCCCATGACCTTCCGAATTTTGACCTGAGTCCGTATTTCTACCCTGCGGCGGAATTTATACACAAAGCCTTGAGCATCCCAGGAGGTATGGAAAACTTGCTGGCTACAACAGCTATGAGTACATTGGGGAGGGGTTTTTTTGAGTAATGCGGCACCAACCCTGGAGGGGTTGGAAGCTAAGCAGGGTCAGCTCTGAGTAGTATTTGGATGGGAGACCTCCAAGGAATACCAGGGACATGATGCAGAGTCGGGCAATGGCAAATCATCCTTGAATGTCTCTTGCCTTGAAAACCCTACAGGGTTACCATGAGTTGGCTATGACTTGCTAGCACCTTCCATCACCACAGGGCAAGTGCGCTTTAATGCCCAGAACCATTTGGGCAGGGCCCAATGTGTAACTACTGTCAGTAGCATGAGATGGACCCACAGCTCAGTTGGCTCTCATATCACTGCCATAACATACAAAACAGTAAGAAGCTCAGTAGCCCCTTTAAGACTAACAAACTGTATTGTAGCATA